GATTGTATGGATGAGCGGAAGAAGGTCGCTGGTGGATCTGGGAACGTAGTTAGAGCGCTGCAGAGTTCTTTTGTCGAAGACAGGTCTTCATTTGATGGGAGACTTAGTTCTGATTCTGTTAATGTAGAATTGAAGAAGGCGGCAGAGCCTCATGCTGAAGGAACTTCAGCTAATTGTTTAGACGTACAGTCCGACCCTCTTGCTTCTGATTCTGAGAGTGTGTCTTCTGTTAGTAGTTCAGTGACGCAGGAGGGTGGTGCCGGAAAAGGACAGCGTGGACCTCGAGCCGTTGTGGTACCGTCGAGAGTTTGGCAAGAGACTAACAACCGGTTGCGACGGCAGCCGGAGCCGGGTTCTCCATTATCTAAGAACGTTGGTGCAAAAACAACAGTACCTTCGAAGGTAAATATTCCCAAGAAGCATTCAATTGATAGTCCTGCATCATCTCCCCGCCAGGTTGGGAATAACATGGAACAGTCATCTCCTGTTCGAGTTCCAATCGGTCCTGCATCGCCAAGTAAGCTTTTAGCATCATCCATATCATCACCTTCAAAAGGAAGCCCATCTCGTGTGAGATGCTCACTGTCAAATGCATTCAGTAATAACTGGAGCAGCACACCATCTACTTTTAATTTCGCCAACGATGTTCGAAAGGGAAAAATGGGGGATAGCCGGATGGTTGATGCACATTCATTGAAGATGTTGTACAATAGGCTTTTGCAGTGGCGTTTTGTGAATGCTAGAGCAGATATCACATCTTCTGTCCAGAATTTGAATGCAGAGGTATGATTCCTGGAAGTGGCCACTTCTCTGCTTTTCTCTTTTGAAAAGAGTTGTTGATCCTTTCCTTCTGAGTCCTAATTTTGATCATCCATTTGTCTGATTCGTACTATAACTTGTGGAGCCTAATTGTATTTCCTTGACTTAACTTGTGGAGCCTATAATCATCTTGTTTTGATCACCATAAACTAGCAGATTGGTATTTTTCAACCTCCAATTTATGTTTATTGTAGAAGAGAGAAGATGATCTGGTTTTGTTGTGATAACTTAGGTTTGTTTTTTGTTAGTTGGTCTTTTATTCCTCTCACGATCATAAATATTTCCCGGTTCCCACGGTATTGGCAATGTCCTCAAGTCTATCCTTCTTTCTCATTTGTTCTCCTTCTACGTTCTTTTTAACTCATCAATTATGTAACGATGGTATTTACACTTCGAGGTGTACTAGTTTACTTATATTGTTTAATTGTTCCTTATGGCAGAGAAATCTCTATAATGCTTGGAATAGTATTTCAAAATTGCGTGAATCTGTTGTAGCCAAAAGACACGAGTTACAATTACTACAGCACAAACTTAAGCTGGCTTCTATCCTCAAGTCTCAAGTAAGATATGCAAATGAATTTTTCTATCTTGTTCTTTATCCTGTTATTTTACTTGAAAATTATCAAGCGATGAGTTCTTCTGAATTCCTAGTTTGCATATTTATCTGTATGAAAATTATTTAGGTTCATACGCTCTCTCTTATTATCACAGTAAATAAAATTATGCATGAATCTGCATTAAATTGTTTGTTGACGAGGATCTTTGCTTAGACTTTAACAATTTTTGTGTTTGACAAATGTAGATGATATATTTGGACGAGTTGGATCTTCTGGATCAAGACTTCTCCAGCTCTTTGTCAGGTGTAACAGAAGCTTTAGAAGCTAGAACTCTCCGCTTACCAGTTGATGATGGGGCGAAGGTGGGCGTCGTGTGTACGGATTTGTATCATCCAACTTTTTCTTCATTGTCTATTTATTTTTTTATTCACCTTTTGGTCTCAGGCGGAAGTCCAGGATGTCAAGGATGCAATTTGTTCAGCAGTTGATGTGATGCAAGCAATGGCACCATCCTTAAACTTATGGCTATCAAAGGTTGCAATCCCACGCTCAGCTGTTTTGTTGTTTGTCCAATTGTCACTTCCTGTACTTCTAGTAGTTGGATTTTCTTTTGGTATCGTCCTTTATAATTAGTTTTGCACATTTATTAAAATCAACAAGAGCAAGCAGCAGACGGGTGCCTTTAAGTTTTCTTCTGTTCAACCACACCTGTGGATAATGCCTTGGAAATAAATTCACAGCGTAAACAACATATGATTAAAAAGCATCTGTTCTTGATGATGATAGGTTGGAGAGGTGAATTCCGTGGTATCAAAACTTGCAGATGTTAATGCACATGAGCGTGCATTGCTTGAACAGTGCAATGATCTCTTGTCTACAGTAGCATCCATGCAGGTATTATTTTGTCTCCTCTCTCTCTCTGTCTCTCCTGTGTTGGTTCTGTCTCACTCATGAAAAAAACATCTTTGCCAGGTTAAAGAATCCAGCCTGAGAACTCACATATTGCAACTAGAGCGAATACCAGCTTAACAGGACAGGACAGAGAACAGGTATCTGCTGACTGTCCATTATTAGACCTAAGATCTTGCAAGAGAATTGATCCCACCCATTCTTTTTACTTGAATTCATGAAACAAGAAGCAATAAAAGGATTATTGATAGTGTCGGTCATAGGAGCTGGAAACTGGAAGTGTTTCATAAATGGTAGGAAATTGTGGTGCTCAAGTCTAGAGAGTGGATCAAAATTAGATAATATTCATGTACCTTCTTCTAGAGGGGGCCAGGAAAACATTTCTTGTAAATGTCAAAATGAACGTGGTTCTTATTCATTGCTTTCTTTCCCTGCCTTATGTGCCCTTCAACTCTTGATTTTTGTGAAAGTAGCGCTTGTGTGATGATAGAAGATGAGTATAAAAGCTCCTTTTGACTGGTTTGACGTGTCATTTCCATTTGTTTGCCACGTTATGTGAAAAAACAGAACACGTATTGGTTTTGCATTTTGAGTTCATACCATCGAGTCATGTTGTTTGACTTTGACACTTTTATTAGTGACCTGACTGGAAGAAGATTATAAAGTTTCAAATTTATATAATTTTAGCTAAATATGTTTTTGTCCAGTTTTTTTATCAACCATTTTCATGGTAATGTTAGAATCGACTGACAGTTTACTTACCTGACATAATACTACTTGTTGAGTTGGTACGAATTTGAGCCACCTGAAAAAGGAGGAAGTCTCTAATTATTCCACCAAATTTCTATGAAATTGCTAGAAATTTTAACTTTTCTTCTCCAAGGTAGCTCAATTTCTCTTTTACATTTCTGTAACTATCTATCTAAATATCATGTCATGCAATTTTATTATTATCAACTAATTTTAACATTGATTAGCGTAAAACGTAAGAAATTAAATTGGAACTTTTTGAATAGGATTAGAACATATAACCTATCATTTATGTTTGCAATATTTGATCAGTGATTGGGTTAAGTTGAAAATTGGTGTGTGTGGGTGCAAGAGTGAGAGGTAATTTTGCTACCTCACCCACCACCTTTTCATTGCTCTGATAAAGTATTGGAAGTTTTACACAACCAAACCCACTCCTAAATTCTTCCAAGGGTGATTTGATTGCACAAACCACTCTTATTAAGTTTGGTAATTTATCAAATTAAAAAATTGTCCAATTGAGTTGTAAATTTTTCCTGTCATTCAACGAATCATTTGATGCCCCTGTTTCGTGCTTAGCCCCACCCACTTGCCAGGGATTGTGCCGGTCGTGATGGCAAACTCTCTTCCAACTTGCATAATTCAACAACTGCAAGTAGTGCAGAAATTAAGAAAAACTCCGAATTCAAAACATGGGTCTGGGAAAAAAGAATCAATTGAATTTATAACTGATACAAAGTTCCAATCTTGAACCTTCTTTCTACATTCCAAGAATCCGCTAAACTAGTTTCATCATATAATTCAACTAATTTCGAGTTTTGATTCTAACCCTTCTCTCCCCAATT